GACACTAAATATGTATGTTTCACATTTTTACTGCATTTGCTCTTTGCAATCCTAATTTACTCACAGCATTGTGCAAAAGAATAAACACACCCTTATTTACAACAAACATAAACTCCCTTTGGGTAGAGCTGTGCACAACTGTACACAATATTGCAGTACAACATATGCAGGTCTGTATATCATTCATCAAATTGTTCAATTTTAAAGACATTTTCAGGAAAATAAAGATTTAAATTTGTTTTATAAAATTAGTTTGACAGATTTTGACAACTAGTTCACCATTTTTGTACGTAATGACTCAAGTAATAAAATGAGGGCTATTAGTTTTATATGGAATGACTATTCAGCATTCACAAGTTTAGTTCATTTTGACTGACATGACAGAAGCAAATGATAATGTTATAACACAGCAGAGAGTTGTATGAAAGCAATTGATGCTTGTCCAAAAGCATTTGCAATTTGTTGAAAAGAATGAGAAACTGCTTCTAGGATGTGCACAAATGACTAATTGTTTTGAGAAATGCATTAACTGTTGTGCAAGTGTAAATAGTGTAATGAGAAATGCACCAAAGCGACTGAGAAAAACTGTAATAGTGTCCAAGAAGGCACAAAATCATTAGATGCAAAGACTGAGAGACTGATTAGACTTCATGTCACTGATTAAAAGATGAAGGATGTAAATTGTATGATGACTGAAATCACCAGATGGCCTTAAACAATAACTAAATGCACTACAGAATGTTACGTTTGTAAATGCACGCACACATTGCATGTACAGTATTCTGTCAGTGCTGCACGAGCTTGATTCGTGGCACTAAATGCCGGACACTTGTTGCTTTTTAGGCAGGATTCAAAGTGCATTAACATATCAAACAATACATTTACATATTGATTTCACTCCACATGTAAACACATTAAGCTGCTTTCTGTGAGCTTTTTAAAGGTGCATAAATCAATGTAATGTTTGCTCATGCATTAATCTCACATTTTAAATGTATAGTATGCGAATTACAAATAATTTAACCTGCACTTGGAAATTTAAATCTATAAAAAAAATGGCACTAATGTAAGCTACATTTTTAATTTGTAGGGTAAAAGGTGGAATAATGTTCATGGTGTAATACTCACTACTAACTATTCTTGAGTACTCACACTTGAGTACTGCTTTTACTCTTCTTGCATGTGGCAAATAATGGTACTTTCCATTCATCCATTTATGGCTTATTGCTTATTACATCAGGGGTCACCACAGCGGAATGAACCGCCAACTTAACCAGCAAATGTTTTACACAACGGATGCCTTTCCAGCTGCAACCCAGTACTGGGAAACTTCCATACACTCATTCACACACATACACTACGGCCAATTTAATTTATTCAATTCACCTATACCGTATATCAGGGGTCATCAAACTTGTTCCTGGAGGGCCGGTGTCCTGCAGATTTTAGCTCCAACCCTAATCAAACACACCTGAACCAGCTAATCAAGGTCTTACTAGGTATACTTGAAACACCCAGGCAGGTGTGTTGAGGCAAGTTAGAGCTAAACACTGCAGGGTCACCGGCCCTCCAGGACCAGGATTGGTGACCCCTACCGTATATCTTTGGACTGTGGGGAAACCCACACCAACACGGGGAGAACATACAAACTCCAAACAGAAATGCCAACTGGTCCAGTCAGGACTTGAACCAGCGACCTTCTTGCCCACTTAATTAACCCACTTGTTGAGTAAAACATGTTTGGGGCTTTGTTGCGTTATTTTTAACGTTTATTCATTTATTTAATTATGACTCAACATGTTGAGTTAAATATTTGGTTCTTTTTTGGGTTACTTTTAGTCTTTATTTGGTTATTTGTTTTTTAACTCAACCAGTTAAAAATTAGAATTTCAACAGTCAACCAATTTAACTAATACAAAACAACTGTATTAATATGTGTGCGCAATGTTGTTTTTGTGTTCTAAAGTTTATTTAAGCTATTATGCAATAACATTGTTGTAATTTTTTTTATCAAATTAGCTCTCCTTGAGTCCGTGTTGTGTTTATATATCCGTTTCACCATCCAAGACCATCTTTTAGAAGCGTTTGGATGTGTTAAAATGTATTGTATATTATGGAGCCAGCTGCAGCTGCTGCACAGTCTCTACAGCACACAGAGCTCCATATTCTGCTCCATCAACACATGATTTTCTGCTTGCACAGTTTATAACTGTCTGTACTTTGTTCTGTTTCTTTATTGTTTGGGATTCTTGATTTATTTGAAGAAAAGTGTCTGGAACTAAAATGTAATGGAAAAAAAGCATTTTCAATATTATTTTAATAATGCATGTTATTTATTTACACAGTCGTAATTATAAAATTAATAGTAGTACTAGTAATAGAAGCAATAGTAATACCAGAATGAAATAAAAATAACGTTTAATCAAAATAACCCAATGTATTGGGTTAAATTATATAACCCAATACACTGGATTAAAATAACCCATAGTTGGGAAGGTGCTGTAATAACCTGTAGTTGGATTATATGTTGGGGTATTTTTAACCCAACTATTTTAACAGTGAATTTGATTTGCAGCTGGCTCCATAATGTACAATACATTTTAACACATCCAAACGCTTCTAAAAGATGGTCTTGGATGGTAAAACGGATATATAAACACAACACCGAGAGGTAATTTGAAAAAAAATAACAACAATGTTATTGTGTTATAGCTTAAATAAACTTTATCAGGCAAAAACAACATTACGCATACATATTAATACGGCTGTTTTGTGTCAGTTAAATCGATTGACTGTTGAAATTCAAATTTTTAACCCAACTGGTTGAGATAATAAATAAATAACCAAATAAAAATTAAAAACCAAACAAAGCATTAAATATTTAACTCAACTAGTTGAGTTATTAATAAATAATCTAATAAATGTTAAAAATAACCCAACAAAGCACCAAATATGTTTAACTCAACCATTGGGTTAAATAAATAACTCAACGTTTAAAGTGAACCCATTTGACACAATTGTACACAGAATGCTGTATTTTAAAGCAATACGGGGGGTATTATAAATGGTTAGACTCCATATTAGACTATAGGCTGACTTTTATCCCACTGACTCTCACTGTCTGAGCTATGATACATTAAACAGCATTGTTTTTTTTAAAGAGGAGCTGCTTAATATGTCTCGCCCTGTCTTTCTGTTTCAGTTGAAACTATGTTAACACATTGCATGGTTCGAAGCACTTTAGGAAACCTTTAAATATGTTGTGATTTATCATGTTCTTGGTATATTTTGACCCAACAGGGACACATCCTGCTGTGTAATGAGTACACAGGTTTTCAATGAGCGTAGATCTTACATTTCAGTGTATTGTTCGATAATATCATGAATCGTTCTAAAGAGTTGTACGGATCTCAGTTTGAATGCATCGTGAGAAAGATTTATCTTCAGAAACGCTATCAAAAGTTTTAGGCTTTAGTCTTTATTTTTCAGTTTCTCACATGGAATGAGGTCTTGAATGTAGAAGTAATGATGGATTATGGTCCTACTGGGGCTCGAATACTAATTCATTGCTGCTAGATAGAAATTTCTTCATTCATTTCACAATGCGCTGCCTGTCATTATGGAGCAGTGGACTGGGCATAAAATATCACAGAAAAAAAAGTAAGTGATGACATACTTAAGTTTCGCCTTGGGTAAGAAATGTCATCAGAAACTGGTTGAGTACAGAAAATGACAGAGGTTTTAGTGGTCCAGGATGATTGAACAGTCATTTGTCCTCACAAGAATTTGTTGTTAAGATACTTGTTTTTTTACAGATGCTATCAGAGAAAAATATACACAGTATTGATGCTTGGGTCAGAAAGAGAAAGAAAACTCAAGACATTAGTTGAAGGTACTGGTATGGAAGTTAGAATCTGAACAGACTAAAGTCATAAACTCAGTGCAGAGGGTTTTTATGCAGAAATCACTTTTATAAAGGGTATTAAACACAGTTGTTTGGCAACAGTCTGTGAAAATAACCAGCTTCTAATAGTAAAAAAAAAAAATTATAATAATTTTATTTATTAAAATAATATTTTTTTGTAATCACACATCATAAAAACTGTCTGCAGAAACACTTTGATTGACATTCTCCCTTTGCAGGTGTCATGGAAGTGGGAAAGCATGACAGTCCCATCCTCATTAGCATAGACAGCCCTGAGTGAGAAGCAGCCATCCACCATTAGTTTTGAAGCTGCTGCTAGAATGACACATGGGCGTGTTTAGCTTCGCCCTCTTTTGAAAAGAGGGCTGGGAGCAGAAGCTCATTTAAGTTAAAAGTGACAGTTACCAAAACGACACAATTTGGATCTAAGCCTAAAAGGGGCAAATTTTGTGTGGTATTTTGAGCTGAAACTTCATATACACATCGGACATTAAAGACTTGTTTTACATCTCATCATTGTAATACTTGAACTTGTAATAGTTCAATTAAATGACAAACAAAGAAAACAAACAAATAAAATAAATTGGAATAAAAAATACAACACAAATGTTAAGGTAAAAGCTTTATATTAACTAGTTGCCAAAGAAATATATTTGTTCATATAAGCTATGTAGACAAAGTAAATAAATAAATAAATAAATAAACAAACAAATAAATACATGAATAATAATAATAATAATAATAATAATAATAATAATAATAAATGATAAAAACTAGAATTAAAAATTAATAAAAAATGTTTTGTCTATTTATAAAAATTCCAATAGTATGCTGATGTTATCAAATAAATATTTGTTTATAGAATCTATACATACAAATTAAATAATAACAAGAAAATAAAAGTAAAACAATAGAAATGCAAAATAAAAATGAACTCAGTCAATCTATTCATTTAAAAAAATCAATAGTTTGCGGATACAATATCTACACTCTATTCTATTACTTAACGCATAATCTTCATATTTAATGCTCTCATGATTATTTTAATAACCTTTTTTTATCTTGTTTTAAACAGCTATGGCGTTCATCATCGCAATGCTTCTGGCCAGTCTCAACAGCTGCTGTAACCCCTGGATCTACATGTTTTTCGCTGGTCATCTGTTCCGGGATCTCATGCAGCGCTGCCTTACGGTTTCACACTGTGGCTGTAAGAGGCACTGGAGAAATAAAAACCATTCAGGGACGGGTGCCATGAGGAGCTCCAGCAGCCAGAAGAGTGTGACACAGTCCTCCACTACATAAGCGGACGCTACTATAAGATAACATAAGCTAAGGAATTACAGACTTTTTACAGGTGTGGTGCAGACCTCAATTACATTAGTCATGGATGATTTCTTCGTTGGCCTAAAATATGTATCTTTATAAATATATTTGCCTGTCTTAAATGAGCCATTAATTTATGTACGACCATTACTTTTTCAAATGTCACATACGAAAAACTTGGGGGGGGTCATTCCAAGCTGTTGTCCATTAACCTTTATGTGCTGTTGGGGATGTTTTCATCCACTCTGGGGTGATTTTGAGTTTTATTTGGCCATAACTTTTTTTCTGTGTTGCAGCTAGCAGAATGGTTTTTGTTGACAAATCTTATTTTGATACACATTTTGAGAAAATGCTTTAGGTAAATTTTTTTTTTTTTAAAAACTCAACAATACACTCTGCGCAAATTTACTATTAATGTTAGGGATGAAAACATCCACTGAATTAAACTGCCGTAAAACTGCATAGTTTTTTTTTTTTGCAAAAATCAGTTAATTAACCTCAGTCCTGATCAAAACTACTAAATTGCTTAGAAAATTACAGGATTTTTACTCTTTAATTGCCAAATTCATAAATTATGTCACTGATTTGGTGGAAAAAACACACAAAATGACATATTTTTAAAATAAAAAGTAAGGGTGCTTTCACACCTACACTTTTGTTTTGGAACGTATCTTGTTTGCCCAGTTAGCGCGGTTCGTTTGGCATATGTGAACAGGGCAATCGCGCTCTGTTCCGCGCCAAAGTAATCGCTCCGAGATCGCTTGAATGAGGTGGTCTCGGCTCGATTGAAACGAATCCTGGAGCGGTTAGATTGCAGTGAGAAAGCGATCCGATCCGATCCGATCCGAGCGCGGTTATATCACAGTGTTTTATAGATTTGTAATAGGCTTACGGCTATATGAAGAGAGAATTATGAGTATGGCGGGAAGTTTCGCGAGTCTCCGGATGCCCGCAAACAAGTGATGATCTCCCGTAATCTCGCGTCTCCCTCCCGGTCCTCAAATAGGCATCGTCGTGCACCCTTCTCACCCCTCCCCACTGCGTCTCTCCTCAGACACGTAGCGCGCGCACCCTGTCAATCACCACCAAACCACCACCTCTCCTGACAGCTTAGCGGGACGCTGCAAAATAGACCATGACACTCTGACCAATGTGAGGAGAGTTTACTCGCACGTAACTTGTTTTAGCTCATTGTTCCGATTAGAAACTTTGCAGTCTGAAAGCGAACCGCTCCAAGAGCAAAGAGCAACAAGGTAACAATTGTAATCTCTGTTTCGGAACAACTGAATCTATTCACAGGTGTGAAAGCACCCTAAGTTTGGACTGGATTTTTTGTACCTTTCATTACAGTTTTGGAGATGTGAAACAACATACCATTTGATACATTGTTTTTGATTGTTATTCTTTTTTTTCTCTCTCTCTCTGATTTACTGTTAGTGGCTGTTTTTGCCTCATTGACCTCCCACTTTTTTTTTATAACAAAACCATGACACCATATAATCATGCAATTTTGGTTGTTGGTGGTTTGTCAGATTTGTCATTTGTACTGCTGATGATCAGTTGGCACCATTAACCCTTTAGAAAGGCCTGGGCAAAAAAGTTTAGTTTCTGGATGTTATATGGAGTACACCAGCAAATTAAAGTGTGTGTATGTGAGAGTGCCCTTTGCACACTTACCTTGATGTGCCTGAGAAAATCTAAATATGCATCTCAGCTCTCAGAACTACACGGAGTAAACAAAAACAAAGACTGTGTATTTTTGCACCATCAAATGTGGTTTTAATGGAAGTCAATGGGGCCAAAAACAGCCACCAACAGTAAATTAGGGAGAACAAATGAAAATATAACAACGCATCAAAGCTAATGTTGTTACTAATCTTTCAGATGTCCAAGACTGGGATAAAAGATACAAATAAATCCAGTCCACAATTACTTTTTATATTGAAAGATGTCATTTTGTGTGTTTTTTTCAACCAAATCGGTGAAATCATTTATGAATCTGGCATTAAAAAACTTAAAATCCTGTATTTTTCTAAACAATTTTGTAGTTTTGATCAGGACTGAGGTTGATTAACAGATTTATGCAACAACAAAAAAAGAAAAAAATATGAATGCATGCTGATGCATTTTTACAGCAGTTTAATTCAGTGGATGAATTCATTCCTACCATAACAATATGGTAGTCAATTTGAACAGTGCACAAGGGTTAAAAAGTGATTAATGCAAACGACAAAAACATCAAAAAGTTTAAAATAAGAGATCATCCCCTAAAATGATGTTATTATGACATTGCAGTGACAAGTTTTAAACATTTTGGCATAATTATCCATTTGGATGTTTACAAGAATTCAAAGTGTAAATAAATATTTGACATCTAATAATGTCAGGCTTTTATTTCTTCAAATGAATCTGACTCACAAAACTTAATAGCTCTGTGTTTTTTTATTTCAGAGATAATGACATTTAAAAGCTTGACTAGGTAAATGCACTGCACTGCTAAAAAATACAGCATATGACCGGCTGACAGTGTCCTTTTTAAAATGTACTTGCCAAGTCAGCACCTTTTATTCTAGTACAAGTTATAAGGTATGAACCACACTTTAGACAGTAAGTAACAAATGTCATGAACTCAGAATCAGCACTTTTCCTCTCTCTATATATGAATGTATGTGTGTAAGCGAAGGAACCACCTCTTTTTGAAGAGGAACTATTTAGCCCAAAGTGAACATTCTGTCATAATTGACTTACTTTCATGTTGTTTCAAAACTATTTAAAACTTTTTGTTTGAATTTTTTTGGACTGCAAAAACAACAACAACAACATCTTTGGTGCTATATTCTTTTGAAGTCATGAAGCGTTTTTGTGTCTTGTTATTTGCAGTCACGTTTGCTGAAAGCTGAATTATCATAAATTTGAATATGCATATAAAGTGAATATTTAGAGTTAAAATCAGTTGCATGGACTTTTATAGCACTTTCACGAAGCCTGACAACTGCATAACACAATATGCTTTCTTCATACAGTACAGAAAACAGCAGCTCAGAGATTAGTTAGAGAGAAGTCAGATTGGGATGTGAGGGTAAGTAAACAATGCCAATATCTTTAATTGTTATTGTGTAACTGTTGCCACATGCGTATTTTGTAGGAGCATACTGTAAATATACTGTAAATAAGTCAGTCGCTGTGTTTCATTCGAAAGGAATAAAATATTATTTATTAATAAATGCTTTTGACGATGAATGTGGATAGCAATGAACTTGATAAATTGCTAAAGGAGAATGCCTTTGCTTCTTGTTTTAAAATGCTTTCAACGGATCCCAAAATAATAAAACAATTCATTTCCATTTTTGAAGCCCTGCTAGCATTAAAAAAGACGTTCAAGTTTTTCCTTGATTAGCAATCAGAAGATGCGAGCCCACATACTGTAAATTACTCATTATGAATCCAGTCATTTTTCATATATGGTTAATATATCAGATTTGGTTTAAAAACTTGGATGTATTTGGATTTACATGGTTTAAAACTTAAATCTACACTAAAACGGCCACTTTATTAGGAACACGTTTCAACCACTTGTTAATGTGAATATGTAATTATTCAGCCAATCACAAAGTAACTTGATGCATTTAATCGCGGACATGTGGTCAGTATAAAAAGCTAAAGTTCAAACCACTCGCAGAATGAGGAAGAAACGTGATTTAAGAGAAGTTTGCGTGGTTGTAAATTCCCGACAGGTAGTCTGAGTATTTTAGGAACTACTGATCTGCATTTTCATACATACTATCTAATCACATAAAACTATTATGTATATATATATATATATATATATATATATATATATATATATATATATATATATATATATATATATATAACTATTTTCATATATATATATAACTATTTTCATATATAGAATATCCAGTCAGTGGCAGTTCTGTGGCCAAATATGTCTTGTTGAAGCTGAAGGTCAGAGGAGAATGGTTCACATTGGTTCAATAGAAAAGTCAGAGACTAAAGTTAAACTAAATAAAACTTGAATCAAATGAGCTACAGCAGCAGAAGAAGAGCATAGCAGTAAATTACCTGTCAACTAAGTAAACTGCTCTGAAAATTCAGCTACAATTAGCATAAGCTCCCCTAAACTGGATAGTAGAAAAGAAAAAAAAAGATGCTTGCTTGATAAGTGTTGATTTATGTTCTGATAATAGGATGGCAGGATCACACGTTTTAATCAACAGCATAAAGAGTTGCACCATCTAGCTAGATTTAGTTCAGGCTGCTGCTGGCGGTGTAATGGTTTGGGTATTTTTGGGCACATTTGGGCTGTAGTGCCATACTTGTTGCTAACTATATCCATCCCCTTATGAGTCTAATGGCCTTAACAGTGAGCAGATCTCAGTCCAGTAAAACATCTCTGGCTAGTCAATCTCAAATATCATTCATTCATTTTCCCAGCTGGGACTCGAACCAGTGACCTTCTTGCTGTGAGGCAACAGTGCTAACCACTGAGCCACTGTGGTACCCTCTCAAATATCAATAAGGAAAATTAAAATCTCTAAGGTATTTTTCCAGAACTTTAGTGAATCTGTGCCATGGACAATTGACGCAGTTGTGAAGGCAAAAGTGAGTCAAACTTGGTATCTACGTCGTGTACCTAATAAAGTTGCCGCCGTGTGTGTCTTTGGAATAATGTTTGTTCCATGAACAAAGAGGCTGAACCTTTTAATTATGAGTTATCTTAACAGACTCATCAGTCATATTTTCAAAGTATGTCTTGGGACAGAAGCACATTAAAACCTCATTACAAATCTGCAATTGCACTAAAAAGACTAAACTGGAGGAGTTCTTTAGTTAAAAAATGTTAACGGCTGAATTAGATTAAGCAATATTATTTGACAGATGATTAGGCAGGCTCTTCAGACAAATGGAAAATCATCTGTCCCAGCATGTGATTTTCAATCTAAAAAAAAAAAAAAATTCCCAGAGGTAGTTTATCCTCGTCGAATATAAATGGATACGTACTGACACCTAGTGTTTCAGCACAACTTTACAGCTTCAGTTACTGCGTTGTACTATGCTGAAAACACTATTTTCATTATTATTATTATTTTTTTCATTTTTGTGCTACTCTAAATACTATCAGTTATAAAACACTTAAATAGTATCGGATACGCTGTTTTTTTATTAAGACAATCCTTTAAGGAAGGATTTAAAAATTATTATCATTTTTTTTATCTTTTAATTTTGGTCAAAACTGTATTTAAAAACTGCAGTGTTGTGTTTTTTGTGTGGAATCATTTCCTTTTAACGTTGGGAATTTTATTACTGTCACTTTTGATAAAATCAATGATTTATTTATAATATGTATTTATAAAAAATTATTTATTTTAGCTA